TGTCTGTGAGGCAAGAGGCAAAACAGGCAGCATCAGGAGGCTCCAGGAAGGATGTGACCTTGGAAGTGAACATAATCGTCTCCCCACCTGCGAGAGAGAGAAGTACATCTGGAAGACACTGGAAAAACAAGAACCCAGGTTCTCTGCTTGGTGATCTGAGGCAAGCATAGCTCCAACCTTCAAGCGCCTTCCTAAGGCACCACAACTGGAAAGGTGGGCCTGGAGAACGCCCACTGCCTCTCCCTAAGCGCAGAGGGAGCCCTGCACCTTCTCAACCCCCAGAGAACCCATCATCACTGCTTCCTCATATGCCCCCTTTGTATGTATACATACATATACATATGTAATTGTTTACATATATAATTGTAATTATATATACACAAATATATATTACATATCACATATATTACATATATATGTGTGTAATTGTTTTAAACATATGTCCTTTTAAATTTCCAGAGTTACCATGAATAACATGCTTTTTCATTTTAGGTATAAAATGCCTACAACAGTTCATCAATTTGTAAGTTTCTAACAGTGTGGCCTTGGGCGGATTTTGCATCTTTTTGAATATCATTTTCCTCATCTGAAAATACAGATAAAATAATAGCTCTCCCCACCTGAGTTAGTGTGAAGGGTAAAAAAGTGTTATTTGATGTGAGTGTGCCAGGTACATAATGTCGGCCCCATAATTTGTCATTTGAGAATGGCAAGAATCTACCATCAATGCCAGGCCCATGGGATACCACTATAGCCACGCGTTATTCATTTCACAAACCAGAGAGACGTCCGGAATTATGCTGTTGCTATAGCCATTGTAGAGTTATCTGTGCTTTTTGAAAGAGAGAGCCCCGCTTTCCTGAAAAATCCGGACCGACACTAACCAGCTCTCTGTCTTGCAGAGATTTGCTGGAGCCCAGAGCAAGCTGGGTTCTGGGAGGCTGACCACGGGCTGGTTTGTCTCCTGGTTGGGGGTGGGGGGGCGGGGATTATGATCCTCTTACAGGGTGGTCTGGTCTCTTTAAGAAAGAAAAAAAGTTACATAGACAAAAAAACAGCAATACAAACCAACCAAAAATGCCAGGAATGCAAGCTCTGTCAACCAAATAAATAAATAAAATGTGAGATACTTTATAATAACTGGACATGATGCCTTTCTCAACTCTGCATAACTGAAACACTGTTTTTTCATCAGTCCTTCAAATGTCCCCCTGGTCCCTACTCTTGGTGGCCTTCTTGCTTAGAGGTAGCCCTGATCACCTCGGTCACCTGAAGTAACTGACCAATCCTTGGGCCTTTCTTTAGCTCTGAGTTGGACCTGGAGATACTCCCACGCTCGGAAAGTTACCTGGCTCGCTGCGTTAGCCCTGGGAGGCAGAGCATGGAACCTCACTGGCATGAGATCTCAGCTAAGGAGATGAAAGTCTTCTCTTTAACTTGAATCTTCTTTCCCTCTCAAAAAAAGGGAGGGGGGGTGTACACAATACAGCAGCAGCCCCTATGAAACATTTCAAGGGCCCCCGAAAATCCTGCACTGATCAGGCTCATTTGTGTCAACTTGTTTACTAGTTAACTGTTGAGACTCTGTTATGGGTCCGTACTGCTTTCAGATGGTGTGCATACCAATAGACATAATTCTCCTATCAACCCTAAGAGATAGAACAGTTACTACACGCATTTTGTGGATGCAGGAGCTAGAGCACAGAGAGATGAAGTAATTTGTCCAAAGTCACCCAGCTCGTAAGTGGCAGAGCTGGGATTCAAACCCAGACAGGCTGGCTCCAGAGTCTGGGCTCTGAACCATCGGGCTCGTTAGTCACTAATGGAGTGTGGTCCGTAGGGGTCTGGAAGCACAGTGAACGAGCGAGCTTAACAGCCTGGGCAGCTCTGCCCTTCTCTCCTGTCTACACTGATGAAGACACAAAGACTGACCTAAGGGACGGCGAAAGGAAGAAATCTTCCTGTCTCTAAGAGCAGTATGGGTCCGCGATGGCCGCCCATCCCCTGCCAGGACAGCGAATATCCAGAATTAGAACTCCTGCTTGTCTCTGGACGTTATGCTCACCTCACCTAGAAGGTGGAATGGGGAAGGAGGGGGAAAACGAAGCGGCTTGGGAATGTATTTGCTTTGGAACCCAGCCTCTGCCCTTCTCGGTAAGCTCCACACCAGGAGGGAACTCGTGGACTCTCCACTCTCCGTGGCTCTGTTTGTTTTAGCCCATTTAAAACCTGAGAGCCCCTGCAATCACATACTGCAATCAAAATGGTATACCCACTTTACATTTGCAAGGGATATCCAGTTCCCGGGTTATTTCAAAATATATGTTAATTTGGTACTTAAAGCTGTTAAATCTTGGGAGGTCTCGATCTAGAAGAAATGTGAATAAAGGTTCTGGATCAGGTCTTAGCCACAAAGACAGGCAAATAATCCAGGACTCCTGTTTCAACACCCACTTCCCCACTGCCTCCCTACTGGCTCCCATGTATTGGTTGTGGGGGGGGGGGTGTAGGGAAATCCTGGTTTAATGATTTAAGCCAGATAAGATCCCAAACTAGTTGTCTCCACACATAAGAAACTAAACGACCCAAAGAATCATTCTGAAAAATATTTAAGTCACAGCTGTGGACACAAAGCCACGCTGTGAAAAGTTAAACTTTAAACACATGTCCTATATGGTCTGATGGGCAAAGCAAATCCCCACTTAGCCAGTGTCTTCTCCACCCACCAACAAAGGCAGGCAGCCCCAGCCAATGTTTCTTCTAGCCGTGCACCTGCAAGCTTAAGCCTCAACTGAAGTTTCTTTGCTGCGCTCTTCAAAGGTAACTTGCAGTGTTACTCAAGGCAACATACACTGAGAAGTTAAAAAAAGGGACTAATTTTACTCTAGCCACTGACTTACAAGATTTTCTTAAGTAAGTGACTTACCTTCTCTGGGCCTCTATTTTCCTCTCTGAGATATGGGTACAATATTCATATATACCCTACTAAAAAATCCAGGAAAAAAAAAAAAAGCTAAAACTGCTATATGTATTTGCCAGTTTCTCTATTTTCCCCAAGACAGGACCAGAGGATCAAATCTCATTATGATGAGTGGCAGAAAATTGCCCAATTTCTCTGACCCGTTGAAATTTTGTTATACCGAAGGCTGCTTACCAAACCTGATCAGTGTCTTGTCAACCTTTTTTGAAAAAGAGAGGCACTGTAAAGACACTTAGTACAATAGATGTTGACTGTAGCATTAGTGCTTACTGTCCCCATTTTACAGATGGGAATGCTAAGCAAAGTTATTTGCCCTGAGGCTTATTTTTTATCAATAATCAAAATAACACCACCATATGCTCAAAATCTCTAATATATAATATTAAATTACCCCCCCCAAAATGACTTCAGCTGTTTACTGTGATCTAAAACATGTGTTGTCAGGGGCACTTTATTCCCAGCACATGAAATCCATTGTAGGTATGGGGACTGACCTATCTTACACGATACTTCCCAGACAGCCAACTCTGTCTTTCTCCATAAATACACATACAAACAAGCCATTCTTAAGGAAAGAACCTATTAGTTGAGTTTATATCTTTGCTGGCAACTATCATTTCTTTGATACATGGCTTGGATCAACTGTGACTAACAGAATTCATTCTGGCTTTCTCGAACCCCAAACACGACCAGCACAGCGACATCATTTCTGAACTGTAGCTCTAAGTGCCTGAAATGTCTCCGCAGTTCTAGTTGATCTCAGCATTGCTCTGACCATGTCATCATCCTTGTGACAACAAACAAGCTTAGCCTTCTTTGTGCACTTCCCAGCAGAACTCCGAATACTGGGGTTGAATGTCAGGGGGTCTAACAGGAGAGGACAGGGCCAGGTCTTCATTAACATTTCGGAGAAAGGGTTAAAATAAGCAAGTGATGATGGCAGAGGCAAGGAAGTGTTAACCAAAGGCAAGACCGGCTAAACTTCTCAATAATCAGATACAACAGAGCAGCAGGTCACTGCAATTAATTATTTTCCAGAAAGCATCCCCTTCTCTGTATATCTTATTATATATACCTTTACCTCTAAAATCACTAATCTCGAAAGGATAGCTGGCAGTTCCTTATTCTAAAAGAAAACATCTATTCTTCTCAAACCGCCTTTATTCTAGGACTTCTGGACCCTGTGAAACTGCCAATGAAAACTGATCCAATTTTAGGATCAAAAATTGTGTCTAAGACAAAATCAAATTTCTTGCCTATCCCCTTCTTCTAAATCCTTCAAAGAGTTGGATAACACCACCCACCAAAGACCCAAAGTCACGTTTGGGGTCAGGATGTTTTCCCTCTTGTAACAGATCTTTGGTACCAGAGGACAAACGTATGGCAGATGAGAAAGCTTTGGATAAAGTAAGTAACCTGCATGAATAGAATTGGGATGTTTCTAGAAGTTAAGATGATCATTTCAGTTCTCCTACCACCTCCTTGCCCTCAACCCAGAAAAGAGGAGCTAGATAGCAAAGGGACATGTGACAGAGGAGCTCAGGAAGGCAAGATGTTTGAAAATGTGCTTGTAGGCCGGCCAGTGAGACACTGTTTCAGCTCTTACTGCTCAGGGCCCTCCATCCAGCTCCAGTTCTGGGGGATGCAGACAGCGGCTGATGTCTTCTGCGCAGTGTCCATCCCCCCTAACGCTAAGGAATAAGGCCAGAGCATGCTCTCTCATTCGGAAAGATTAAAAAAAAAAAAAAAAGGCAGGAATAAGGGTGCTGGACATTCTATAAGCTTTTTCCCACTACTCACAAGAACACAGCTGTGAAAATAAATACCACCCCCCAAACAAGGATCTCAGGCCACCAACAGTCCTCCTTCTCTTCTCTACCTTGCTCCAGCTGCCACCAGCATCGCCTTGCTCAGGCAGAAACGCACTGCCTGGGAGGGAACAGCGGAAAGGGGGAGAAGCGGAGGGGACCCCAGCCTCTGGCCGAAAGCCGGCGCGGGGGCCTCGACAGTCACCACTCACCGGGGGAGGGGAAAAGCTCCAGATCGACTTTTTCCGTCTTGATGATGGTGAGAGTAGGTTTGAGATCGACGGCCGCCTTCATGGTGCCAGGAGTGGGGGGCAGACAGGCTTATAGCAAGTTTGCTGTTATTCTTCTTGTTTGTCTTTTTTATGGGGATTAGTAACAGGGAAAGGGGGACGGGGGAAATCCGACTTTCTTCCCTAAGATCTCAAATTCCCGCTGACTTTTCCCCGGAGCCCAGAAGGTGCGCGCCCGGCACTCTCTCCCGGGAAGTTGGCACTTTGCGGAGAAGTGCGCGCGCCCCGGGTCCCAGCCTCGCCTGCGCCTCGCCCCGCTCCTCCTCGTCCTCGCCCCGCTCCTCCTCTCCGCCGGCAGGCAGCTTCAGCTCGCTCTCGCTCTCCGGAGCCGCGCTCTCCCTCCCTCTCTCCCGCCTCTTTAGGGCGTTTCTCGCGGCGCCGAGCCTCGGCCGCCGGGTCTGCGCGCCCGCCCCCCCACCATCCCCCAGGATCTCCGCAGGGGGGGAGCGAGGGGCGGGGCCGGCGGGGCGGGGGCGGTCCTGGGGCGGGGCCGGATACCCGCGGCCAATCGACGGCGGCGGCCCGAAAACGAAAGGAAGATGGGGCGGAGCTCCGCGGCCACCCGCGCCCGCGCCCGCGCCTTCTCTGCCCTGGCCCAGGCGCCCGGCCGCGGATGGCTGAACGCGGAGCGGGCGGGAAGTTGAGCCCGCTCCCCAGCCGGCAAGGGCTCAGCGCGCTCGAGCAGGCTGGGTGCAGAAGTGCCGCGGCCCTTTCGGGAAAGTCCGTCTGATTCGCCACGCATTCTTGAGGACTTGGTCACCGGCTCCTGCCCCTCTTCCCAGTAGCAGCATAGTTTTCCGAGTGCGTGTACATCATTCATTCACAAAGACTGACACACAGGACGTGAGGCATGCGGAGGAAGGGGCGTGCGTGCGAACGCCGCAGGGGGTTCTCGAGCCAGTGTCCTCTAAGGGCTTTGGGAGTCCTGGACTCTCGCCGGTTAGTGAGTCAGGAATCGGTGCAGTGTTTCTGGAGGAGCCTTCGATTTTTCAGGGCCCCCCTCCCCCCCGCGTGTCATGGTTAAGAAATCAGTTAAGAAGACAGAGGCAGCGTTCTGAGCAGAATTCTCGCTGCCCTTGAGAAGGATCAAGCCCAAGGCAGCCTCCTGGAGACCCCAAAACAAAGGCCCAAATGCTTTTTATGTATTATTGGGAGAGCAGAGAACAGGGCCCCCAAACTGGAATGCAGTCATGGGCTTCCATAAGCGTCCAGTTTACCTACAGCAGGGGTTGGGTGGAAGGGGAAGCTATTATTCTACTAATTATGTCACCGTTGGCCTTTCCTTTCAAAGACTCTCCTCCACTAGATAAAACTGACAACCCTACTACAACCACCACCACCAGCAAAAAAAGCGGTGCAGAGGCTCTGTGGTTTTGAATTTCTGGAGTACATCATTCGCAGCTGTGACAGAATCAGTGCACAGCCCCTGTCCCATTTGGGAATTCCAGACACTTTGGACACCATAACACGATCCCCAATAATTCATAACTTTGCACTAATAACGTTGGTTATCATGAGTGGAGCTAGTTGTTCTAATTACCAGATCAACCAGTAAATCTAGAGCAACATACACAGACATACATGTGCATAGCGAGAGCCAGACATTGAGATCTACCTTTGATTAACTAGAAGATTAAACAACAATCTTTCTGAACAACCTCAAAGGAAGCTATTTTTAATACTGTTTCCTGATTTTAAGCCTCTGTTGAACTACCACCACTTGCCTGCAACTGACTTAGATCAGTTTTAACACACCTGCTTACCTTCACCTAATCCCAGTTTTGTCTCCTTGAAGCCTTGGTTAGCTTGCCTGTTTCCCACAACAGATGAGAAAAGGAGCTAGGAACAGAAAATCAATCTCTGGTTCCAGGTTCAAACTTCAGATCATGCCTGTCCTTCAGTGACCAGAAAAAATATTTGTATGTGACAATTCTAATTTTTGTAGGATTGTTGTAATCCAGCTGTTTCCAAAAGGTATGAGAAGACAATGCTGGCCTCCAGATGCCAAGAACAGACACTTCTGATCCTGGGAAAAGCCGGGGGAGAGGGCTGGAAGGATGAACTGGATATTTACACGTCCGAAGGAGCCGCAGAGGAAAGGATCCTGAACCCATCCTCTGCTTTGCCTCCTCTGAATACATCAGCAAAAGAACTGAGCAAATCGAGAGCTGCTTTGGGGGAATCTTGTTTTATTGATGTTGTGTTAAGAAAATGCTGTTATTTTTAAATCCAAGTGTAAGTACTTAATTTTCTACTTGCAAACGAAGCTGCCTCAGAGCCAGTCTTTTTTCTCTTCCCCAGAATCTTCCTCAGCTTTCTCCCCTAGACCAGCCTGAACTCTGCTGCCAACACCCTCCACCATCAGACACTAAAAGAACCGTCCAGAATCGAACCAGAAACACTTTCCACTCCACGCCAGCAGTAGGGAAACTTACTCCTTTGGTTTTGCAACAATGATATCTCACCTAACTATCCATCACCCTTTGTAGCCCAGTCCTGCAGCACAGAAGCTCAAAATATGTGAAGGTCCAAATCAAGGAAGGGGATTATTTAAGACAGGAGGGTGGGGGAGATAGCCAGGGACCACCAAAGACCTCCAGGAAATCTCTTTGTACTTGAGGCTGATTGTGACAGTGAAGTTATCACAAATCATGCCTCTAACTTCAGATCTAACTGAAACTTTGCTTGGGACAAAGAGCACTGATGTAAACAAGTTAAAATATGTTCACAAATGTGGGATATTAATAATCGAATCAGGCCTATAAGTATCAAATCAACACGGATAAATGAAATTTTCATTCCCTTTTGACAGGAGTAGATTCTTGTAAATCTTCTATGGCTCTTACCAAAGCCTAAAAAGCAATCCCTAGCCCAGTGCCTGACCCATTGCAGACACTCGGGAAATATGTATTCAGTAATGAACTATCAACTTCTTGGTCACCAGGGGCATCTACCTTGCCACCAGCTTTCTCTAAGGCAAAAGTTTAAGTGCGTTGTTTCTGCTATGGCTTGTGAAGAGGAACTAAACCATGTCAACCAGTCCACCCCTAGGTCGGTCCTTTGTCCTCCATGACAGAGCGGAACCCCTATTCCCCAGCATTCATGTCCACTCGGGTTCACTTGTGCCTCAGTTTCCCCACCAGCAAAACAAGAGCAGCTGGGCCTTGCCTTCCAGCTACTTAGGCAAGTGGTTTCAACTTGTGAGGCACTTGAGAAAAATCAACGAAGGAAATACTTCCTTGCTTATTTTTGTAATGCAACAGTCTGCTCCTCCTACAATTGGGAGAGAACAGAATTGTATTTTTAAACATTCCTAAGACCTAGGGAATTACACCCAGCAAGTGCTAAAACTCCGTAAAAGAGGAACATCGTGCCAATGATTATCAAAACAGGCTTGCAAGAGTTGGGGGACCCGGATGTGAGGTTAGACATTAATGATATCAAGGAACTAGTCACATTCTTTATAGGAATTCCCTCACACGCATAGATGTCCTAAACACAAACTTTCTCTTTACTACTCCGCCCCTCGACTCCACACCAGCCTCAGTTAAAAAAGAAACAGAAAAATACACGGAGTTTCAAACAGTCATGGAAGACAGACTGTCCCTCTCCACAAGCGTGCTAAAAGTTATTTGTCTCTTTCTTGAATCTTAAACTTCACCAAACCAAAGAACCTCTGAGTTTTGAGCTAAAATATGCTGTATTGGAGGTAGGTGCAAAAACACTCCGACCACTAACGGCTGATCCAGAACAAGTTTATGACTCACAGATGTTGATTTACTGGTTTAAATGTAAGATTAAAAAAAAAAAAAAATCCTCCATTAACAACCTGTCTGAGTTGCGTTTGTGGTTGTTTTTTCTCTGAGAAAAGGCAATAGTCCCCGTCACACACAGGGACCTAGAAACAGGCTTCTGAAGCTTCACTCTAAAGCAAGTGGTTTCTCCGTGTTAAGTTGAGTCATTAAAAAAACACAGTGGGGCAGAAAACAGCCTGGGGCTCTGATATCTACCATTATCAAGCAGCAATAAAATGGCAAATTGGAGATCGAAAGGAAAATGGAAATAACTCTCTTAATTAAACTCTGATACCAGAAGGCCTGAGGGTCAGTTTAAGAACCCAAGTGGCAGGCTCCAAGCTGTTGGACTGCAGGCTGGCTCTGTGACCTCAGCAGAGCCACTTAACCTTTGTGTGTGACAACCTCATCTCTGTTTCAGGGAATAAAATCACCCCTGGCTCTCCCGACCATGTAATACACACTCATTAGCTATTGTTTAGAAGGTACAATAAACAATGGGCCATAAGAAGAGCCATAGTTAGGGGGAAGTGGGGGGGGGGAGGGGCAGGGAGAGGGAGGACTTGGGGGCTGCTTGGCCCCGGGAAAGCTTCCACAATCAGACAAAGATGAGAGTGAGCAGTGCGGGCTCTGGTGTTGGACTCCGGTTCGAACTCTAGCTCTGCCCACTAACGGGCTGAATTCTTGCTCTGAAGTCACTTACTCTAAAACCTCAGCTCCTCCACACTCAAGGCAGAGACAATAATAGCACCCCCCCCCCTTTTAAGGTCATTTGGAAGAGTAAATGGGATAATGCATGCAAAGCACTTAGCACAGTGTCCAGGTCAGAAAACGTGCTCAGTTAAAGCTAAATCATTGTTCCTGCTATTAAAATCCAGGATGAGGTAGAAGAGTCAAAAAACCCTGTTCCGTCTCTAGGACCATCCCCTTCTCAGAGTAACTTGGATCCTCTGTTTACCTGAACCGTCTTCAGGGAGAGATAGGGAGAATGATCTTGTTTAATTTAAAAATCTCTCCAGACCCCTATCTCACTCAGTTCCTGATTTGGGAACGTGCCCAGCTTTGGCCTCCTTTGAGAAATCCCAGCACCACCTGGTTAGAAGAGAACACTGTAGATCTGTATGTGTTTTAAGTCATGGAAAACCCGTAGTTCAAATTCAGAAGGAAGAGCCTGTGGGTGGTACCCAGTGGAGCCTTCGTCCAGCGCTTGGCTGTCACATGACGGAGCTAGCTGGGAGTCTCTTAGAGATTTCCAAGTCCAGCCCTCCTGCTCGCCAGAGGGAAAAAATGAGTTTGAGAGAGTAGGTCATTCAGCCCAGAGCCACACAGCCTGAAAAAGTCAATGTCAGTCCCACAACAGTATTCCCTAAACTGTAGTTCCGTCCGTGGCCATCTCCTCGGGTCTATTGATACCACATTTGGGGAAGCCACGCCATTCGGCATGGTCTGTTACTGGACACTCTCGAGACACAAAGCAGGATCCAGTGTACACAGAAA